AGGCGTGAGCCACTGGTACTCGGCTTAGTTTTTTGTTGTTTATTTTTGAGACATGGTTTTGTTATGGAGCCCATGCTGGCCTCAGACTGGAGATCTTACTGCTTCTGCCTCCAAGTGCTGTGATTGCAGGTAGACCAGCACACTAGCTATATTGTCTTTAATTTGGTATTTTTTTATTTCATATGAGTGTTCCATCATCAGCTCTGATGCATCGTTTTTCAACACTAATCAGCATTTCCAAATACTTTTTATTAACTATGGGAAACCATCATTCTAACCAGTCACTTAACAATAACTTGGAAAAGTCTGTCCTCAGCCCACTCATGCAGCCATTCTTGTTACCAGTAAACCTCTCCCTTCCATTCCATTTCTGTTTTCCTTTCCTAATACTTAAGACTCTAAAATTATAGCAAAGATTTTAGTTCAAGTAGGGAGAACTAGGGAAGAGAACACTTCTTGCTCCCCACAAAGCATACTAGGGCTTTTAATTCTGCACATTACCATTATCTAGATTAACGGTTACAATTTGATTATTTTCATCTTCTTTCAAGTTTACATTGTATTCAATATGTCTAACTGGGTGACCTTGAATGAGCTAATCACTGTGCTTCAGTTAACTTACCTATAAAAAAGGGGTGACAACAGTACTTATCTAATAGTTTTCAAAATTAAGTTTATAAACCAGGATGCCACCAGTCATCTTAGCTGCACAGGAGGCTGAGAACTGAGGGTCTTGGCTCAAAGATAGCCTGGGAAGGAAGGTCTATGAAACCTTTATCTCCAATTAACCACTAAAAATCTGAAAGCAGAGGGACTGGGCATGTGGCTCAGTGGTGGAGTGCTTGCCTAGCATACATGAAGCTCTGGGTTCAATTCCTCAGTACCACATACACAGAAAAAGCTGGAAGTGGCACTGTAGCTCAAGTGCTAGAACACTAGCCTTAAGCAAAACAGCTCAGGGACAGTGCCCAGGCCCTGAGTTTGAAGCCAGCCTGGGCAGGAAAGTCTGTGAGGCTCTTATCTCCAATAAACTACTAAGAAAAAGCTGCAAGTGGCATTTTGGCTCAAGTGGTGGAGAGATCTTGAGCACAATAAGCTTAGGGACAGCCTCAGGCCCTGAGTTCACAAGCCAAAGATCTGACCAAAAAAAAAAAGGTTAAAGAGCTGTGGCTCAAGTGGTAAAGTGCCAGCCTCAAGTGAAAAAGCTCAAGGTCCTGAGTTTAAGCCCCAGTACCAGCACAAAACATTTAAGAGGCCGGACACTATTGGCTCATATCTGGAATCCTAGCTACTCAAGAGGCTGACATCTGAGGATCAGGATTCAAAGCCAGCCTGGGCAGAAAAGTCCCAGAGACTCTTATCTCCAATTAACCACCAGAAAACCAGAAGTGGTGCTATAGCTCAAAGTGATAAGGCCCTAGCCTTAAGCAAAAAAGCTCAAGGACAGTGCCCAGGCCCTGAGTTCAAGCCCCTACAACTAACCAAAAAATATATACATATACATTCAATTCAATAATTTTAGAATAGGAAATTATTTTCTATTTTAGAATAGGAAATACTTAATGTGCACTTTTATTTATTTTTTGCCAGTCCTAGGCTTGAACTCAGGGCCTAGGGCTGTCCCTCAACCTCTTTGTGCTCAAGGCAATCCCTCTACCACTTGAGCTAGAGCACCACCCTTCTGGTACTTAATTAGAGATAAGAGTCTCACAGACTTTCCTGCCTGGGCTGGCTTCAAACCACCATCCTCAGAACTCAGTCTCCTGAGTACCTAGGATTACAGGCATGAGCCACCAGCACCTGGCTAATATGTATTTGTTAAAAATATTATTACTGGGACTGGGAAGGTGGCTCAGTGGTAGAGTGCTTGCCTCGCATGCATGAGGCCCTGGGTTTGATTCCTCAGCACCACATAAACAGAAAAAGTCGGAAGTGGTACTGTGGCTCAAGTGGTAGAGTGCTAGCCTTGAGCTGAAGAGCTGAGGGACAGTACCCAGGCCCAGAGTGCAGGTCCCACAACTGATAAAAAAATAAAATAAAATAAAAATAAATATATATAATTACCATTTTCTTACCTAACATTCGAAGTACTGTTTCCTATGAGGTTAAGTCAGTGTACTTCCTTTTCAAATGATTATATTCAGAAAAGCTCAGAAAATATTTTACCAATGAACAGGGGTGCTCATTGCAGCAGTATTTTATTTTATTCTTTTGCAGCTGTATTTTAAATAAAAAGAAGGTAATCCATATGTCCATTAGTAGAACATTTTTTAATAAAAGATGGTGATGTCATACTATGGAAAATAGGGAGACAAAGATAAATTTGTAGATAAAAGACACATTGGATGTTTAAAGATGGTCATAACTTATTGCTAAGTGCAAAAGATCAAGCTGAAGACCCATAGCTCCCAGGCATATTCATTTTGGGAAGAATAGGAGGATACACATGAAGCCCTCAATAGAGGGCAGAAGTTGGTATAATATGAGGCAGAACCCTGGGCATGATGAGCTATGCTTATAACACCAGTTACTCAGATGGTTGAGTGTAGAAAGTTGGAGGCCAGCTTGGGAAATCAGCAGTCTCTTGTCTCATGATTTTATAAAGGTCAGACAGGCCTGATGGTATACATCTGTACTCCCTGCCAGTGTTGGGAGGCTAAGGCATGAGGATCCCAAATTCCATGCTAGCCTGTGCTCATATGGAGACTCTCACATGGGAGTTAGGGCTGGGTATGTACTTCAGAGTTAGAGAGCTTGCCCTCTATAAGCTCTTGGTTCATTTTCCAGTATTAAGGGGGGAAAAAGGTTCTTTCTAATTCAAACTTAATACAAACCAAGAAATAAGGAAGAAAAACCCATTGTTTAAAATTGCTCAATCTCTTAGGAAATTCACTTACACAAAGATACCCATTCCTTTCACATTTGAGGTTCAGATTTATTTAACCAAAATTGAGTGAAAAGTCTTGGGGATTTGGAGTTGACCAAGAGTCTAGTGCTGGGATTTACATGTGAACTTCTATCCCACCAAGAACATTGCACATCTTGCATCTTAACCTCAATTCCTGACCTATACATATTTAGGACAAGAAATAGACATGAAGACATATTTTTACATTATTCTTTTTTTTTTTTTTTTTGGTTCCGGTCATGGGGCCTGAACTCTGGGCCTGGGCGCTGTCCCTCAGCATTTCAGCTCAAGGCTAGCGCTCTACCACTTGAGCCACAGCGCCACTTCCAGCTTTTTTCTTTTTGCTTATGTGGTGCTGAGGAATTGAACCCAGGGCCTCAGGCATGCAAGGCAAACGTTCTACCACTGAGCCAACTTCCCAGTCCCTATTTTTACATTATTCTTAAAGTGAGTAAACAGAGATAACCAATGAAATAGGTGGGAAGCCTGTCCACCTTTAACACTGATGAAGGGCTGAGGGAACAACTACCTTTTCTTTTCTTTTTTTTTTTTTTGTCGGTCGTGGGACTTGAACTCTGGGTCTGGGCGCTGTCCCTCAGCTCTTTAGCTCAAGGCAAGCGCTCTACCACGAGCTACAGCGCCACTTCCGGTTTTCTGGTGGTTTATTGGAGATAGGAGTCTCACAGTCTCTCCTGCCCGGGCTGGCTTTGAACCATGATCCTCAGATCTCAGCCTCCTGAGTAGCTAGGATTACAGGCGTGAGCCACCAGCGCCCGGCGACAACTACCTTTTCAACAAACAAATCTCAGACTTAGGAAGCAACAGTAGAGAGAATTTTTGGGGGTTGGGTGGGTGGGGAGGGAGGTTTACTATGGCTTGAACTCAGGGGCTTTCCTTTAACATTTTTTTTTTTTTTTGTCAGTCGTGGGGCTTGAACTCTGGGCCTGGGCGCTGTCCCTCAGCTCTTCAGCTCAAGGCGAGCGCTCTACCACTTGAGCTACAGCGCCACGTCCGGTTTTCTGGTGGTTTATTGGAGATAGGAGTCTCACGGTCTCTCCTGCCCGGGCTGGCTTTGAACCGCGATTCTCAGATCTCAGCCTCCTGAGTAGCTAGGATTACAGGCGTGAGCCACCAGCGCCCGGCTTAACATTTTTTCTTATCAAGGCTGGGGCTCTACCACTTGAACCATAGCTCCACTCGCAGCTTTCTGGTAGTAAATTGGTGATAAAGCTTTCCTGCCTGGGCTGGTTTTGAACCATTATCCTCAGATCTCAGCTGAGTAGCTAGGATTTCAGGTGTGAGTCACCTACTGGAGGTACCCTGCTGGAGTCTCTCTTTTTTTTTTAAGACAGTCATTTCCACTGCCAAGAGTAAACTCGGGGAGTTGTAAATAAAGTCGAAAAAATACCCTTTGTTTTGTTTTTTGGCCACAAATGTTTCAGGAATTCCAAAGGGCTTCGGTTTGTAAATAGAAGAGTGGAAAGAGGAATTAGCCTCAAAGAAATGAACGACAAGGTTCCTCTTAATCTAGGGTGCATTTGAACCCAGGTACCTGCTTTGTCTAGGAAACAGCCTGTTGTTTTTCCTGGTCATCGGGCCTCACAGGCCATCAGGAAGCTAGGCCTCAGAAGCCACCTGGCGATGCTGATGACGCGCCGGAGTCCCAGCTGCCACGACGAGAAAGGCTGAGCCTTTTCCTTTAAGTAGCTGACTCACGTGGACGCTGTGTTGTGTGCTCTCAGCTGGGAGGGGGGGGTGGATCCTCAGTCTCACCACATTGGCGGTCTTGGGAGAGGAGGCAGAGTTAGCCTCTTTGATTGGCTGTACGAGTCCGAGGTGTCAGGCCGGGGGCGGGGCGAGCAGCTGCTAGCCAGCCCCAGTTCTGCGGCTTGGGCGAGGGGTGGGCCGCCCAGCCCAGGGAAGCGGGAGTGGGGGGAGGGTGAGTCAGGGAAGGGGCGGGGCCCAGAAGAAAGGGCAGGGTGCCAGAGAGAGGGGCGGGGCCTAGGAATGAAGTCTGTCCCGGACCAACCGGGAGAGCGGAATGGGGGAGGGGCGGAGCCTCGCCGGGTGATTGGCGCTGAGGCCGGGCCTGGGAGAGGCGGGGCCAAGGCTGGGGCCTGACTAAACCTGGAGCTTCGGGAGGCCGAGGGGCTTCGACCCGGCTGAGGAGCGAGGAGTCGCTGGCAGCGCCGACCTCACCGCCGCTCCGGGTGAGTGCGACGACGGGGGGTTGGGCTGGGAGACGGTGGGGACGGAGGAACTCTTCGCGTCGGGTGGCTTCCTAGCCCTCGGGGAGCGGCCCGGGGCGGGGGCCCGGGCAGGAAGTGCCTCTTCCTCGCCGCGCACCTCCCGGGGTCCCGGCGCGGCCGCCCCCCGGCCCGTGGGGGAGGCCCGCGGTGCGGGGCCGCGGCCCGGTGGGCTGGGCCGCTGCTCTTTGTGAGGCCCCGGCGCAGCGGCCGCCGTCGGCCCGCCCCCGCCGCGCTACGGCGCGACCGGCGAGACCGCCACAGCCGCGACCCCTCGGCGCGCCCACGTCCCGGGACGGCCCCACGCCGAGCGCGGGCGGCGTCCGCGCGGGCGCCCGTCGGCGGCGGACAGTTTGCCCCGCGCCCTCCCCCTCCCGGCCGCCCCGCCCCCACGGCCGCCGTGCCCGCGCCGCGTCGGGGGCGCGCTCGGGGTCGGCCTGCAGGCCCGCGCCCCGGGGCCCGGCGCGGAGTCCCCGGCCGGGCGTGGGGGTCGCCGCAGCCTGGAAGACGACCCCGACTGCTCCCAATGGCTGAGCTCGTGCCTGGCGGGGTCGGTGCCCGCCTCTGCCCCGTCGGGTAAACAGCTACCGCCTTTACCCTCTTGTACGTCGGGCTCGGGGAGACCGACGGGCAACCTGCCCCGGCCGGGCCGCAGCGCCCGCCCAGCTGTTCTACCCGTGTTTGTTGTGCCGGAGGAGGCCCCGCCACCGCCGCGCTCGCCGCCCGGCGCCTCGTGATTGGCCGGCAGGCGTCACGTGACCGTGATCAGCTGGGCCCTCTGCGGGCGGGGGGGGGGGGGATGGGGGGGAGGGAAAGAAAGGGCCTCGCGGTTTCCCCTGCAGAGTTGCGGGGGGCCGGTCCATCCCACCGCGTAGCCGTCCCGCCACCTGCTCGCGCCGGCCGGTGGGGAGGTAGGCGCGCCCTGCACACCCCCTTTCTTCCATCCTCGAGTGCAGGTGGGTAGGACGAGCGAGTATTCCGTGTCAGCAGGAGTGGGAAACTGAAATGCTACACAGATCGGTTTAGTCCCTGACACCGACTAATCTCCCTTTCAAGGGAGAGTCGGGGAAGGTGTACAGCTCATTTATTTTTAAACTTTTTCTGTTTACTGAGCCCTATTGGTAATCTGAGGATTTTTTATTCCAGGTCTCCTTGACAGACGGAAAATCTGAAGTAACCTCGGGCTAACCTTGTGTTTTTGGAAAATTAGTAGACTTGCTGGTGAAGTAACTGGGCTAATAGGATAGGTGTTAGCTAACCTGTACAGACACATATACAGTACCTCAGCTGCAACCCAGTAAAGCGGAAGCAGAAAGCACACAGTGTTTCCAGGGCACATAATTTATGCCAGATGTGAAAGACTGTGGTGAATTCTTTTCCTAAAAGTTTTTCACATACTTATTCTGGGTCAGGCTAACAGGAAATTAGAAAAAGTCACAAAATTGAGTAACAACACAGTTTATTATTAGTTATGAATCCGGGTCCCAGTGATTCATGCCAGTAATCCTAACTCCCAAGGCTGAGATCTGAGTATTAGGTTCAAAGCTAGCCTGGGCAGGCAACTCTTGTAGAGTGTATACTCAACCAGACAAAAACCTGGCGCTAGTCTAGATTGAAAAAGCCGAGTGAGAACAGAGGCCCTGAGTTCAAAATCCCAAAAAACAAAACAACAAAAACCCCATATAAATGTATATGTGTACACATATATATAATAGATATAAATCATGAAATAAGAGTTTACAAGAAATCAAAGATTGGGCAATGAAGAGGAAGTAGGAGGCACTCTGCAATGAATTGGTAATTGCTTAGGCTTAGAAAATGAAGAGGCTTTGGTTGCTTTTAGGCAGATAAGGACTAAAAAAATACCAGGCCTGGAACATTTACATCTAGCAAGAAAGTGGAGGCTTGTGGAATATGGCACACAGATATTCCCATTGTCTTTCTGGGTATGTTCTGGAACATCAAGTACACTGTATACACTCTTTGGAAGGAGCGAATATCTGCTTTTGTTAACTTTCATCTGGGCTACTGCCCACTACAGTTTGATAACTAGCAACCTTCTTATCTGTACAAAAAGTGGTGAAATTTGTTTTAATTATTTATATGGGAAACCTAAGTTGAACTTTAACAGTAGCTTTTGTAAACAAGATTGGTGAAATATTTATTTAAAAATAATATTTAAAAATAATGTTATCTGGCTGGATCATTGAGAGCGTCTCTCTAGACTTATTTGCATCTACGGTTCCCTTTTTAAGTGAAAGGGAAGAGAAGCAAATTTAGAAACAAGACTAAAAATATTCTGTGGAAAAGAAACTTAGTATTTGCTTGCCCCATTTTGCACAGAAGTAAATGTTGCCTTGCCAATTAAAAAAAAAATTTTTTTTTTTTCGTCGGTCATGGGGCTTGAACTCTGGGCCTGGGTGCTGTCCCTCAGCTCTTCAGCTCAAGGCGAGCTCTCTACCACTTGAGCTACAGCGCCACTTCCGGTTTTCTGGTGGTTTATTGGAGATAGGAGTCTCACGGTCTCTCCTGCCCGGGCTGGCTTTGAACCGCTATCCTCAGATCTCAGCCTCCTGAGTAGCTAAGATTACAGGCGTGAGCCACCAGAGCCCGGCTTAAAAAAAATTTTTTTTTAAGTAAAACTTTTACCCCTCAAATGTTGTGAGACCTGAGGTTAATTTTTAACATATTACTGTATATTCAGTATATTTATGCCCAGAATATCCTTTAAGGTTTTATAGTGCCTTAATTATATCAATATTTATTTCCCTGGTAATCCTGTGTGGTAATTGGTGTATAATATAGGACCCAAATCTTAGCTAGACAGGAATTTACTCTGACATTTGAATCAGGAAATCAGAAGTTAAATTGAACTTCACATCATCTAGTTCAAAACTTTAAGCATTGTATCACAACGAACAGGAGATCATTCATTTTTCATGCCAACAGACTTTTTGGGGAGGTTACCAACTCAGATTGTTTGCTGACTCATAACTAACTGAGTTATATGGCTGGTCTTATATTCCAGTGATGATTAAGTGGAATTATAGAAATGTAGTAAACTTGGAAACAAGACCTAAAATAAGGTATTCTACAAGGAAAGAACAAAGGCATATATAACATTCCTCTGTCACTTTATCCTTGGCAGTAAATATTTCTACAAAAACTTGAAAATTAGTTTTATGAGTAAAACTTATTTTCCTGTATAACATCAAATCAGTATAAAATAGCTACAAATCTATATAATACCTGATAAAATTATAGAAGCATTGTGTTTATGATGATGATCAATATTGTAGTTAACCCAGCATTGGCAATTCTTTGGGTTTTGTTCTTTAGTATTTTTTTTTTTTGGGTCTGGTCGTGGGGCCTCAACTCTGGGCCTGGGTGCTGTCCCTCAGCTCTTCAGCTCAAGGCTAGCGCTCTACCACTGGAGCCACAGCGCCACTTCTGGCTTTTTTCTTTTTGCTTATGTGGTGCTGAGGAAATGAACCCAGGGCCTCATGCATGCAAGGCAAGCACTCTACCACTGAGGCCTCATGCATGCAAGGCAAGCACTCTACCACTGAGCCACCTTCCCAGCCCTCTTTAGTATGTTTTGAAGGGAAGAGTCTGCAAATGGAATACTCATGGCTTCCACATGATTCTGTTTTGATTTAAACCAAAACTGCCTCAGGAAAAAGGGCAGATGTCTTTAGCCCTTCATAAACTAGGTTCTAATGTAGCAGAATTCCTGCTTCAGAGTTTTGGTGACTGTGTACCCCTTTTTGGTACAATGAAAACTCCCCTGTGATCTATCCTGTAGTGGAATTCCTTGAAGTGTGTGTTCTGTGGATAATTCCTTTACTGGAGAGAGGTCTTTCAGAACTGGGAGGTTTTCTTTGTTTTTTTTTGGGTCTAGTCATGGGGTCTGAGCTCTGGGCCTGGGCGCTGTCCCTCAGCTCTTCAGCTCAAGGGTAGCGCTCTACCACTTGAGCCACAGCGCCACTTCCGGCTTTTTTCTTTTTGCTTATGTGGTGCTGAGGAATCAAACCCAGGGCCTCTGGCATGCAAGGCAAGAGCTCTACCACTGAGCCACCTTCCCAGCCCCTGGGAGGTTTTCTTTGAAGGGTCCTATGAGATGCAAATAGATACCTATTGTTCTCCCTGATATTTTTAATGTTGGGGGAAGTGGTGCCTCCTTTTGCTAATTCCACTTGCCAGGGTTGAGACCAAACTGGATGTTTAATTATAGGGAAGAAAAACATTTTAAGACATAGCATGATGGCACCAAGAGTTTGAGATGCTTCGGAAGGTTTCAAGTGTTCCTTCTGATTTCTGTCCCTTCATTTCTTACATTTCTGCCAGCAAGAGGAGGTAAAAACAGTTCATTGTTTATTATTTTCTGAGCCGAGTTTCCTTATCTGTGATGGGGGAGTTGGAATGGGATATGTAGAAAAAGATAGTCTTAGTTTCACTGACCTTTGTTTAGCATTTATTGTTTGTTCTCAGAATATAGTACATCCATTTAATTCTCATCCTTCATATATGTGTTCTCATCCTTCAAATATATACATATTTTGCACATATATATGTTATATGTAACTAGGTATATAAATATCAGTGTATATAGTCTTTATATAGTTCATCTTCAACCTTTAACATTGAACTGGTTATAGAAAGTTAAGAATTTTATCTAGAAAATCCATTTTAAACTGGGAGCAGGGAACTTTAATCTTGTCAAATGTTTCTGTTGATTCTTAAACCTAATTGTTAACAAGTTTCTGTTTTTTCTAAGAAAAAATGGATTTCTAACTAAAAAGGTGTTCATGGCATGAATGTTTTTGAGCAGGATACTTACTTGTAAGGAGAGGAATCGTGATTATTTTGAGTTTTGGGACCCCAAGTTTGTGTAGCAAACTTGATTAGCAACTAATTAAATTGCCATTGTATCGAGAAAGCAGCTGAGTGTACACAAACGTGGATGGCTGTGAGCCAAAGACGTTTTATCACTATTTGTTAGACTTTCACGTAATGCTTCTGTGTCACAAAATATTCCTTGTTTTGTTTCTTTTATCATCCATTTAAAAAGTAAAGAACTAATTTTTAGCTTAGATGAGAGCAAACTACATTTGGCCCATGGGCCTCTGTTTGCTCATCCCTGCTTTTAAGGAAAATACAGACTAAAAATACAGTCATGTTTCAGTTGTGTATATATACAAGTGTATATACACAAGAAATAGACTTCTTAGAGAATTACTTAATGACCTACAAACTAAGAAATTATATAATCTGTCATGTCCAGTTTTTTTTTTTCTTTTTTTTTGCTAGTCCTGGGGCTGGGGCTTGAAATCAGAGCCTGGACTACTGTCTCTGAGCTTCTTTGCTCAAGGCTAGCACTCTACCACTTGAGCCCCAGCACCACTTCCTGTGTTTTCTGTGTATGTGGTACTGAGGAATCGAACCCAGGGCTTCATGAATGCTAGGTAAACAATATACCACTGAGCCATATTCCCAGCGCATGTCCAGTTTTAATATAATACATTCCTGGGGATTTTGTCTTTCATAGATTACTGAAAGAGAAATATCTTTTTTTTCTTATTTAAATTCTGTAAATTAAAATACAAAAGTAGAGGTCATAAAAATCTGCTTCCCCCAGAAACTCCTGGCAAAAATAGGAATTTGAAGTTCTAATCAAAGGGAGGTATTTGGGAAGAATAAGTTGAAAACATTACTGAAATATGATCTACAGATCACTAATGAATTCACTTATATTTTTAACCTGGCCCTTGATAATTTCAGGTAAGAGGATATACTGAGACTACCACTCTCCCACCCCCAGTTAAATGAGTTGGGTAATTTTCTTATTTCAGACTGTAAGCTGTGCAAAACTAGAATGGAAGTCTTATTTTTAAAAATTAAGATTATTGCCAGGCACTGGTGGCTCACACTTGTAATCCTTGCTACTCAGGAGGCTGAGATCTAAGGATTGTGGTTCAAAGTCAGCCTAGGCAGGAAAGTCTGAGACTCTTTATCTCCAATTAATCACCAGAAAACTGGAAGTGGCAGTGTGGCTCAAGTGGTAGAGTGCTCACCTTGAGCTGAAGAGCTGAGGGACAACACCCAGGCCCAGAGTTCAAGCCCCATGATGGACAAAAATAAAAATAAATAAATAATAAGATTATCAAATTACT